GGGGTGAGAGAGAGACGGGGAGACACAGAGAGAATGGGTGGGGGTGTGAGATAGAGAGAGAAAGAGAGTGGGGGGAGAGGTGAAAGAGTGGGGGGTAAGAGAGAGAGAGATGAGCCAGATGGAGAGACTGGGGTGGGGGTGCGGTGGGGTGGGGGGCAGAGAAAGCAAGAGAGAGAGGGAGAGGGGAGAGACAGAGAGAGAGAGAGAGAGAGAGAGAGAGAGAGAGAGGGGTGAAAGAGAGAGGGGGAGGGAGAGAAAGAGGGGGGCATGGGGGGGGTGAGAGTACAGCACACCCACTGACACACACACAGATACTCAGACACGCTCGCGCGCGCACACACACACACACAGTCACTACACCTCACTGCGCGCGTGTGCGCGTGTGAGAGGAGACAGAGACCCACCTTGGCTGTGGCGTGGTTCAGCATCTCCTGCCAGGTGGGGTCCAGTCGGTTACGATCAGCCATCAGCCCCTGCTCCGCCACATACACCATCTCCCGGGCAGCGTTGTGCATGCTGACAGCTCGCTCGTACCTCAGGGCAACTCGCTGCGTCTCCTGCTGGGCCTGGGGTGGGGGTGGGGGGGATGGGTGGGGGTGAGAAAGAAGGGGGGTAAGGGGAGAGGGGGAGAGAGAGAACAGTCAGTGGACATCCACTGCTCCCACCGCTTCTCCCACAGACAGAGACAAACACATAGATACACACACACACAGGCAGAGATACACACACAGGGACACACACATACACAGACATGCACGCACACACGGGGACGCACACACACACACACACACACACACGGGGACGCACACAGACTCACGTCCTTGGCGAGCCGTCGAGACTCATAATAGGGACGAGCTTTCTCTATGCAGCTGCCGAGCTGTGAACCCTGAGCTTTTAGCTTTTTCGCTGACTCCGACAGAATTTTCCGGTATGTGTTCCGGGCTTCCTACAGCGAGAGAGAGAGAGAGAGAAAGAGTCACAAAGAGTTCCTCAGGGTTACAGACACAGTGACGCTCCCTCTGCACTGTGCGTCCGTCCACACTCCCAGGTCAGGGTTAGAGACAGAGTAAAGTTCCCTCTACACTGTGCGTCCGTCCACACTCCCAGGTCAGGGTTAGAGACAGAGTAATGTTCCCTCTACACTGTGTGTCCACACTCCCAGGTCAGGGTTAGAGACAGAGTAAAGTTCCCTCTACACTGTGTGTCCACACTCCCAGGTCAGGGTTAGAGACACAGTAAAGCTTCCCTCTACACTGTGTGTCCACACTCCCAGGTCAGGGTTAGAGACACAGTAAAGCTCTCTCTACACTGTGCGTCCGTCCACACTCCCAGGTCAGGGTTAGAGACAGAGTAATGTTCCCTCTACACTGTGTGTCCACACTCCCAGGTCAGGGTTACAGACACAGTAAAGCTCTGTCTACACTGTGTGTCCACACTCCCAGGTCAGGGTTAGAGACACAGTAAAGCTCTCTCTACACTGTGCGTCCGTCCACACTCCCAGGTCAGGGTTAGAGACAGAGTAATGTTCCCTCTACACTGTGTGTCCACACTCCCAGGTCAGGGTTACAGACACAGTACTCACGTCAAGGTGGAGTTCCACTTTGTTGATCTCTTCACTGGCCTGGTTTAGATGTTCCAATTCCTCCTGAGAGAGAGAGACGGAGAGTGTGAGAGAGAGAGACACACACACAGAGACGGAAAGAGTGTGAGACACAGAGAGTGTGTGAGAGGGGGAGACAGACACAGAGAGAGAGAGAGTGCGAGAGAGAGACAAAGTGAGTGTATGAGAGAGAGAGAGAGAGAGAGACACGCACACACACACTCAGAGTGTGAGAGAGACAGAAAGAGACAGAGAGTGTGAGAGAGGGGGAGACACACACACACACATACATAGAAAATTTCGCCCCACAAAACACACGGTCAGTCGGCTTTAGAGTATATTCCGTGAAGCGCTTTGAGACGTCCCGACCACGTGAGAAGTGGCTGCATCGAATGCCAGGATTATTATTAAGATTCTTACAAGGATCAGGTGTGTGTGTGTGTGTGTGTGTGAGAGAGGGAATTGTCAGCCACGACACAGAGAGAGAGAGAGAGAGAAATGGCACAGACGGGGAGAGAGGGGGGCAGTGAGTCGTCTCGTCTGATGGACAGTGTCTCCGACAATTCGAGCCCCTCTCCACCGCCACCACCCCCCCCAGCGCTGACTATACGAGTCTCCGATGTGTGTGTTTCGAACCCACCCACCCACCCCCCTCTCTCTCTTTCTCTCTCTCTCTCTCCGCCACTGTCGCGCTCCAAGCTTAGCTAATCCGTTGTGAGTGGGTGGGCGGCTGAGTTTCACACCCGGTGACAGATCTCAGCCCCCAACGACAGGCTAAATCCAGCTCCCCATCTGTAGCTTGTGAAATGTCGTCGTTAAAACAGCTCCGCAACTCCGTGGGGGGTGGGGTGGGGGAGTTTCTCCCCCTCTCTCGCTCCCTCCCTCTCTGTCGGGGTCCCGGCCGACAATCCGCAAACGAAGACAGTCACGGCGCTTCCAGTCAGTTATTATTACCTGTTAATAATACTAATGATGATAATAATCCTTTGCATTTGATACGACGTCTCCTCATCACGTCGCCGAGGAAGCGCTCCGCAGAACGTGCTGCGAAGTGGAGTGACTGTGCCTTTGCCGGGGGCCAGACGCGGGCGGCCAGTTCGCGCGCGTCGCGTGATCCCGCGCACCCCGGCGATCGCGCTCTTGTCTTTTCAACGATGCCGCGTTCCGTGTCATCCGTTTAATAGCGACGCTCTGGTTTTACTGCGGATTATTTCTCTCTGATCTGTACCCTTTATTGTCACTATAACGCTGCGATAAGTTGCAGAGTGTTTTCTCTCCGCGTTCGCCGATCTGTCTCCCGCTCCTCCTCCCGTGTTGTACTACCCTATAAATTCCCGGTCGCTGACCTCTACCCTAATACTATAAATGCTATAGATTATTATACAGAAGTTTCTCTGTCTCTCTCTGCGATGTTTGAACAGTATATTTTATATTTCTCAGTACTATATATATGTATAATTTCTCTCTCGCTCTGACCTGTACCCTGGGGGGAGGTGGTGGGGGGAGGGGGGAGGTGGTGGGGGAGGGAGGAGGTGGTGGGGGAGGGGGAGGTGGTGGGGGGAGTGGGGAGGTGGGGGGGAGACCTGCAATATATATTATATTACATTTATATTATCTATAATAATAATAATAATTATCCCGGCGTTGACCCGGCGCCTTATCGGGTCTTCGAGACGTCTCAGAGCGCTTCACGCTGTAAAGTGTAGTGACTGTGTGTTCTGTGGCCGAAACTGTATTATCATTAAAATGGTATTATTGGGGACAGTGTCTCTTTTTTTCTGAGGACATAACAGTTTGTCACTGACCTGTACCCTGAGAAAGAGAGGGGGAGAGAGGGATAGAGAGGGAGAGGGATAGAGATAGAGAGAGAGAGGGAGAGGGGGATAGAGAGGGATAGAGATAGATAGAGAGAGGAATAGAGAGGGAGAGGAATAGAGAGGGAGAGGGATAGAGAGAGAGGGATAGAGATAGAGAGGGAGAGAGAGAGGGATAGAGAGGGAGAGGGATAGAGAGAGGGGGATAGAGATAGATAGAGAGAGGAATAGAGAGGGAGAGGAATAGAGAGGGAGAGGGATAGAGAGAGAGGGATAGAGATAGAGAGGGAGAGAGAGAGGGATAGAGAGGGAGAGGGATAGAGAGAGAGGATAGAGATAGAGAGAGAGAGAGGGGGATAGAGAGGGAGAGGGATAGAGATAGAGAGAGAGAGGGAGAGAGGGATAGAGAGAGAGAGAGAGAGGGATAGAGATAGAGAGAGAGGGATAGAGAGAGGGACAGAGAGGGATAGAGAGAGGGACAGAGAGAGAGAGAGAGAGAGATGGAGTGACTGTCACTGACCTGTATCCGGGGATCCAGTTCCTCTTCCTCGGTCTCTCGCGCAGACAGAACCTTAACCCCGACCCCGACCCCGGGCTCCGGCCTCACCCCGACCCCGGGCCCGGGCTCCGGCCTCACCCCGACCCCGGGCTCCGGCCTCACCCCGACCCCGGGCCCGGGCTCCGGCCTCACCCCGACCCCGGGCTCCGGCCTCACCCCGACCCCGGGCCCGGGCTCCGGCCTCACCCCGACCCGGGCTCCGGCCTCACCCCGACCCCGGGCCCGGGCCCGACCCCGGGCTCCGGCCTCACCCCGACCCCGGGCCCGGGCCTGTCGGTGTCGGTGTCGGTGTCGGTGCCGCCGCGGGCCCCGCTCTCAGCCCCGGCCCCGGCCCCGCGCCGCTCCCCGGGAGCCTCGGCCTCTCCCTCCCCAGGAGCCGCGGCCTCGCTCATGGCGCCATCCGCGCGGGCGGTTCCGGGCCCCGCGGCTCCCGCCGGCCTCGGGCTCGGGCCTGGCGTCGCCTGTGTCTGCGCAGCGTCACCCCGTACGGCAGCCCCGCTCCCGCGACAGCGCCGCCATGCTGTCGTACGGCACGGCTCGCGCTCGCGCGCGCGCGCGCCGCCCCCTCGCTGGCGGTGGGGCCCCGTACGGCAAGCCGCCCCCTCCCGGGCCGCCGCCATGTCCCTGCACGGCACGGCGCGTGCTCCTCCCCCACCCCTCTGCTTGCCGTACGGCAGACCCCGCCTCCGGGTCGTCGCCATGGCTCCGTACGGCAAACTCCGCCGTCTCTCCCCCCACACACCTGACGAAGTCGGACATGATGTCATCGGAGCGCGACCGCGTCATCACCACAGGCGCCAACACCAGAGAGACAGAGAGAGGGAGCGGGTAAACACACAGTCACTACACTGTGACTACACTACACAGTCCCCCGCACCAGGACCCCCCCCCAACCCCTCACCGCACTCCCCCTCACACCCTCACCCCCTCCCTCACGCCCATCCCCCGACTCACCTCCTCACCCTCTGTGTGTGTGTGTGTATATGCAGTCCCTGACCCTGTGTGTGTGTGTGTATATATGCAGTCTCTGACCCTGTGTGTGTGTATATATGCAGTCTCTGACCCTGTGTGTGTGTGTGTATATATGCAGTCTCTGACCCTGTGTGTGTGTATATGCAGTCTCTGACCCTATGTGTGTATATGCAGTCTCTGACCCTATGTGTGTGTGTGTATATATGCAGTCCCTGACCCTGTGTGTGTGTGTATATATGCAGTCTCTGACCCTGTGTGTGTGTGTGTATATATGCAGTCTCTGACCCTGTGTGTGTGTATATGCAGTCTCTGACCCTGTGTGTGTTTGTGTATATATGCAGTCCCTGACCCTGTGTGTGTGTGTGTGTATATATGCAGTCTCTGACCCTCTGTGTGTGTGTGTATATATGCAGTCTCTGACCCTGTGTGTGTATATATGCAGTCTCTGACCCTGTGTATGTGTATATGCAGTCTCTGACCCTGTGTGTGTGTGTGTGTATATATATGCAGTCCCTGACCCTGTGTGTGTGTGCGTATATATGCAGTCCCTGACCCTGTGTGTGTATATATGCAGTCTCTGACCCTGTGTGTGTGTGTATATGCAGTCTCTGACCCTGTGTGTGTGTGTGTGTATATATGCAGTCCCTGACCCTGTGTATGTGTGTGTATATATGCAGTCCCTGACCCTGTGTGTGTGTGTATATATGCAGTCTCTGACCCTGTGTGTGTGTATATATGCAGTCTCTGACCCTGTGTGTGTGTGTATATATGCAGTCCCTGACCCTGTGTGTGTATATATGCAGTCTCTGACCCTGTGTGTGTGTGTATATGCAGTCTCTGACCCTGTGTGTGTGTGTGTATATACGCAGTCCCTGACCCTGTGTGTGTGTGTGTTTCCAGAGGTCACGATGCAGAAAGTGAAGTTAAAGTGTAAGAATCTTCACGAGTTTATGAGGGATCTGAGACCCGGAGTCCTCGACAAACTCTACAACCACCCGGCCACCTGCCTGGCGGTCTTCAGGTACCGGGCGGAGAGTGGGGAGGCAGGGGGTGGCACTCAGTCTCTCTCTCTCTCTCTCGCTGTCATTCTCTCACCCACTCTCTTAGTCTCTCTCTCACTCTCTCCGACTCTCTCGCTCACACTGTCTCTCCCCCTCAATCTCTTACTCTCTCTCTCTCTCTCTCTGTCTCACACACTCACTCTCTCTCTGTCTCTCTCTCTCACGCTCAAACTGTCTCTCTCTCTCTCTCACTCGCTGTCATTCTCTCACCCACTCTCTTAGTCTCTCTCACACTCTCTCCGACTCTCGCTCTGTCTCTCTCTCTCCCCCTCCCTCTCTCGCTCACACTCTCTCTCCCCCTCCCTCAATCTCTCTCTCTCTCCCCCACCCCCTCGCCCCACAGGGAGCTGCCAGTCTTGGCCAGGAATTATGTACTACGTTTGCTGTTTGTGGAGCAGCCGATTCCCGAGGCGGCCGTTTCCTTCTGGGTCAAGAAAGAAAATCACAGGTACGTACAACCCCCCCCACCCCACCACCCCCCACCCCGTGTATGTGTGGGGGGAGAGTGGGCTTTCTCACACTCAGACTCTCACACTCTCTCTGACTCTCTCACAGACTGTTTGTCTCTCTCACTCTCTCTGTCACGTTGAACTGGGACACTGTGATGTCTCTCTCTCTCTCTCTCTCTCTCTCACAGCGAGCTGACGCACTGTGTGAACACACTGACCTCCCTCAGGCTGTGGTTACCCCAACAGTTGCCGGGGGGGCTGCAGGGTTTGCTGCTGAACCCCATCTTCAGACACAACCTGCGCATCGCACTGCTTGGGGGGTGAGTGCCCGGGGTGGGGGTTGTTGGGGAGAGCGGACATGATTGGGTAGGTGAAGGGGAGAGATTTGAGGGGTGTGGAGGTGGGGGGGCAGTGTGTGTGAGGATAGGACGGGCAGTGTGTGTTTAAGGGGGTACAGTGTGTGTGGGGGGGGTGCAGTGTGTGTGGAGGAGGGGTGCCGGGTGTGTGAGAGGGGACTGTGTGTGTGTGAAAGGGGGGCGGTGTGTGTGAGGACATCTGTGTGGGTGTGTGTGTGGGTGTGTGACTCTCGGTATGTCTCAGGGGGAAGGTCTGGGCGGACGACACAAGTCAACTGGGACCTGACAAACACGCTCGAGATATCGTCTCCCTTGACAAGTACAGCCTGGAGCGTTGGGAGGTCAGTCACCCACACACACAGCCCCCCCCCCCACACCCACACACTGCCCCCCCATCACACCCACACCCCCCCCCTCACACCCACACACTGCCCACCCCCCTCACACACAGCCCCCCCCTCACATCCACACACTGCCTGCCCCCCAACACCCACACACAGCCCCCCCTTCACACCCATACACAGCCCCCCCCTTCACACCCATACACAGCTCCCCCCTTCACACCCATACACAGCTCCCCCCTCACACCCACAAACTGCCCCCCCCTTACACCCACACACAGCCCCCCCCTCACACACACACACCCTGAGAGAGATACACACACACCACACACGCGCACACATACTCACACACCCTGAGAGAGACAGAGATACACATTGCACACAGACAGACGCACCGACAGACACATGGACACAGGCGAACACTATTATTGTTATCATTATTATTGTTATTGTTATTTTTATTGTTGTTATTATTGCTGTTATTGTTGTGGTGGTTTTTATTATTATTGTTATTATTGTTGTTGTTGTTATTCTCTGTTTTCAGGTGATTCTGCACTTTATGGTGGGATCAGCAAATGCTGCCGTCAGTCAGGACCTCTCCCAACTCCTCATCCAGGCCGGGCTGATGAAAAGGTCCCTCTCTCTCACACACTCTCTCTCTCGCTCCCCCACTCTCTCACACTCTCTCCCTCTGTGTGTGTGTGTGTGTACCTCTCTATCTCTCTCACACACACTCACCCTCTCTCACTCTCTCTCTCTCTCCCCCACTCTCTCACACTCTCCCTCTGTGTGTGTGTGTGTGTGTGTGTGTGTACCTCTCTATCTCTATCTCTCTTTCTCACACGCTCCCTCTGTGTGTGTACCTCTCTATCTCTCTCACACACTCTCACCCTCTCTCACTCTCTCTCTCTCTCCCCCACTCTCTCACACTCTCCCTCTGTGTGTGTGTGTGTGTACCTCTCTATCTCTATCTCTCTTTCTCACACGCTCCCTCTGTGTGTGTACCTCTCTATCTCTCTCACACACTCTCTCTCTCTCTCACAGTGAGCCAGGAGACAGTCCGTGTATAACCTCGGCTGGATTCCAATTTCTCCTCTTAGACACCAGTTCTCAGCTTTGGTATTTTATGCTCCAATATCTACAGACAGCAGAGGTACGTGTGTGTGTGTGTGTGTGTGTGTGACCCCCCACCCTATAGCCCCCGCTCCTCCCTCCCCCACTTCCCCCCCTCTGTGCCCTTGTTCATGGTGGACGTCAAAGATGTCCCATGAGGCTGTCGGGAAAAGAGAAGAGAATCTCTCTCTCTCTCCCTCTGTCGTGTCCTGGCTGAGAATCCCTTGGGTAAAATCACTCACTCGCTTCACAGCTGTGGCGACGTCGCCGGGCGCAATTGGCTGCCGCGTTCTGCCCACAAAACACACAGTCACTACGCTTTACGGTGCGTCCTGTGAAGCGCTTTGAGACGCCTCGAAGCTGTGGTAAGGCACTGCATCAAACGTAAGGACTATCATCGTAATTATTATTATTTATTACTATTTATTATTTTTACTGCTGCTATTATAATTATTAATACAGTGTTGTTATTACTGTTACTATGACTGCTATTACTATCGTTATTACTTATTGTTACTCACTCTCTGACTCTCTGTCCCTCAGGCTCGAGGGATGGATTTGGTAGAGATTCTCTCCTTTGTTTTTCAGCTCAGTTTCTCCACCCTGGGCAAGGTGAGAGCGCCAGGTGTTTACACCTGCCCACACACACACCCACACACACACCCACCCATACACCCACACACACACCCACACCCACCCATACACCCACACACACATGCACACACCCCCCCACACATCCACCCACACACACCCCCACCCATACACCCACACACACATACACACACACCTCCACCCATACACCCACACACACACCCACACACACATACACACACACCCCCACACATCCACCCACACACCACACACACACACTCTGTCTCTGTGTCTGTGCAACTAATTCTCACACTCTCACTCTCTCACACTCTATAGTTGCCAGGATTACACTCTCTCACTCTCTCTCTCTCTCTCTTACACACTCTCTCTCACACTCTCTCACTCTCTCTTTCTCTCACACTCTCTCTCTTTCTCACTCTCTCTCTCTCTCTCTCTCACACACTCTCTCTCTCACTCTCTCTCTCTCACACTCTCTCTCACACTCTCGCTCTCTCTATGTGCCAGGATTATACTGTTGAGGGGATGAATGATTCTCTGTTGACGTTTCTTCAGCATCTGAGAGAGTTTGGACTCGTCTTTCAGAGGAAGGTGAGGAGGGGTGAGGTGGGGGGGACAAGGGAGGGATCTCTCTCTCTCTCTCTGACACTCTCTCTCTCTTTCTCTGACACTCTCTCTCTCTTTCTCTGACACCTCTCATTCACTCACTCACTCTCTGATACACTCTCGCTCGCTCGCTCACTCACTCACTCTGTCTCACTCTTTCTCTCACTCTGTCTGTCATGGGTCGGTCTCTGTCTCACTCTCTCGCATTCTCTGTCTCTCTCTATCACACCCCATCACTGCCCCTCTCTTTCTCTCTCTCACACTTTCTCTCACATTCTCTCTCTCTATCACACCCTCTCTCTCTCTCTACCACACCCTGTCACTCTCTTTTTCTCTTTCTCTCTGTCTCTCTCAGAGGAAGTCTAGACGGTTTTACCCGACTCGGCTGGCCATTAACCTGGCGTCTGGGGTCTCAGCCTCTGCGAGAGACGTACATCAGACAGGATACATCATCGTCGAGACAAACTACCGAATTTACGCTTACACTGGTATGTCTGCGCGTCTGTCTGTGTGTGTGTGTGTATCTGTGTGTGTGTATCTGTGTGTGTGTCTGTCTGTCTGTGTCTGTCTGTATGTCTGTCCGTCTCTGTCTGTGTGTGTCTGTCTGTGTGTCTGTCCATCTCTGTATGTGTGTCTGTCTGCGTGTGTGTGTTTGTCTGTGTGTCTGTCCGTCTCTGTCTGTGTGTGCGTCTGTGTGTGTGTGTGTGTTTGTGCGTCTGTGTGTGTGTGTGTGCGTCTGTCTGTCTGTTTGTCTGTCCGTCTGTTCAGGGCGGACGTTAAAGATCTCCTGTGGGGCTGTCGAGGGGGGAAGAGAAGGGAGTCTCTCTCTCTCCCGGTGTCCTGGCCGACAGATAAAATCACTCACTTCTCACAGCCTTTCACTTTAGGCGAAGATATAAGATAAGCCGCCATGTCAAATGTCAAATGATTATTATTGTATCATACATTTTATTGGTCTAATCTCTCTCTGTGTTTCTCTGTCTCTCTGTGTGTGTGTGTGTCTCTCTCTCTCTCTCTGTCTCTCTCTCTCTCTGTCTCTCTCTGTCTCTCTCTGTCTCTCTCGCAGACTCGGAGTTACAGATCGCATTGGTGGCTCTGTTTGCCGACATGCTGTACCGATTCCCAAACGTGATCGTGGCTCAACTGACACGGGAGGGTGTACAGCAAGCCATCGCTAACGGCATCACAGCCGACCAGGTCAGACACTCACTCACACTCGCACACACACACACTCACATACAGTCACACACACAGACGCTCACACAGACACTCATGCTCTGACTCACGCTCGCTCTCTCACTCACTGACTCTCTGTCTCGTTGTCAGATTATACACTTTCTGAGGACCAGGGCTCATGCTGTGATGCTCAAACAGGTGAGACTGAGAGACACATCCCCTCTGTGTGTGTGTGTGTGTGTGTGTGTGAGACTGACACTGTGTGTGTGTGAGAGAGAGACTGACTGTCTGTGTGTGGGTGTGTGTTGGGGGTGTCTGTTTCCTGTCTGACTCTCTCTCTCTCTCTCCCCTCCCCCTCTCTCTCGGGTGCAGACACCGATTTTGCCTACGACCATTACTGACCAGATCAAACTGTGGGAACTAGAGAGAGACCGACTGCGCTTCTCAGAGGGTTTGTATCTCTCCCTCTCACACTCTGTCTGTCTCACACTCTCTCCCTCTCATACTCTCACACTCTCCCTCTCACACTCTCCCTCTCTCTCTCTCCCTTCCTCTCACTCCCTCTCTCTCACACTCTCTCTCTCTCCCTCCCTCTCTCTCTCACACTCTCTCTCCCTCCCTCTCTCCCTCCCTCTCTCGCACTCTCTCTCCTTCCCTCTCTCACACCCTCTCTCTCTCTCTCTCTCTCACACTCTCTCTCTTCCTCCCTCTCTCTCACATCTTCCTCCCTCTCTCTCTCTCTCTCACTCTCTCTCTTCCTCCCTCTCTCTCACACTCTCTCTCCCTCCCTCTCTCCCTCCCTCTCTCTCTCACACTCTCTCTCTCCCTCCCTCCCTCTCTCTCACACTCTCTCTCTCCTCAGGGGTGCTGTATAACCAGTTCCTGTCCCAGATGGACTATGAAGTGGTCAGAGACTTTGCTAATGACCTTGCGGTGCTGGTTTGGGAGAACCCGGCCAAGAGACTAATGGTCGTCACCCCCGAGGGTCACCCTGATGTCAAGCGCTTCTGGAAACGACAGAAACACAGCTGAGGGGGGTGGGGGGGGCGGGTCGAGTGGGGGGTGGAGGGGGCGAGTGGGGGGGTCGCTCACCTCAACCCCCATCACCTCTCTCGCTCTCTCTCTCTCTCGTTCTGTCTCTCTTTCTCGCTCTGTCTCTCTCTCTCTGTCTCTCTCTCGCTCTGTCTCTCTCTCGCTCTGTCTCTCTCTCGCTCTGTCTCTCACACACACACACTCTGTGTATCTCACTCACACATAACACAACTCTCTGTCTCTCACTTTATCGTCGTCTCTATCACACTCAAACTCTCCATCTCGTTCTCTCTTCCTCATACTCTCTGTCCCTCTCTCTCTGTCTCACACACACAAACGATCTCACGCTCTCTCTGTCCCTCTATCACACGCACACATTCTCTATCATACACTCTCTGATACAAACTCTCACTCTGTCTGTCTGTGTGTGTGGGTGAGTGTGTGTCTGTCTCTCACACTGTCTCACCCCCACACATACACTCTCTGTGTCTCTCTCACTCTCACACACACTTTCACTGCCTATCTTTGTATTTCTCACTATCTCTCACTCACTCTCTGTCTGTCTCACACCCACAAGTTCTCTGTCACACTCTGATGCCCCTGTGGCGGGGGGAGCTTGGAATATTGTGAGATGTCTCTGTGGGGGGGGGGGGAGGTGTGATCACCCCACGATCGATCACGGGGTGGCTACGGTTTAGGGGATGGGGGCTGGAAGTGTGTTCACCCCACGATCGATCACGGGGGGGCTACGGTTTGGGGGGTTCGGGGGGGGTTAAATATTTGTACCAGTAAAACATTCTTTTTCGAGTCTGGAATTTCAGTTTTAACATTACAAGTGTGTGTGTGTCTGTCCTATCTGTGTGTCTCTGTGTTGTGTGTATGTGTGTCTCCCTGTCAATGTGTGTGTCTGTCTGTGTGTGTGAGTGTGTGTCTCTCTCTGTGTGTATCTCTGTTTTGTCTGTGTGTGTCTCCCTGTGTTATGTGTGTCTGTCTGTGTGTGTCTCTGTCTCTGTGTGTGTCTGTCTGTGTGTGTGTCTCTCTCTGTGTATATCTCTGTGTTGTCTGTGTGTCTCTCTGTATGTGTATCCCTGTGTTATGTGTGTGTCTGTCTGTCTGTCTGTCTGTGTGTGTCTCTGTCTGCGTGTGTCTGCCTTATCAATGCGTGTCTGACCTGTGTTGTACGGTAACAAGGTCACCCTCACTAACATGCAATCACGCAGACGCCCCCCGACAGCCCAGTGGGAGATCATTACCATCCGCCCTGAACAGGGGGGAGCTCACACCCCACAACCTTCTGACTCGGAGGCAGGAGAACGAGCGCCTGAGCCGTGGGCTGAGACGCGGGGAGAAAAAAAAGGAAAAGTTTGGGTCAATCTCCGCCGTTTCCGTCGGGTTTGGTTTTGCTGAGTGGAGCGCATTCTTCGGCTGCTCTCGTTTTCGCTGCTGTCTGTATCGACTGCTTCAAAACAAATACACTGTTCGCGAAGCTGTTAGCCTTGAGCTCGTTGTGTGGTGGAAACGGGGTCCCGAATCTCGCGCAAACAACACCGACAACAGCATAATAGTAGCCCTCGCATTCGATACAGCGCCTTTATCGGGTGTTCGAGGCTTCTCCGAGCGCTTTTGTATGTACGGACTGGGTTTTGTGGGCGAAACACGGCGGCCAATTGCCCCGCAGAGAGGGTCTCCCACGAGCAGAGAGGGTCTCCCACGAGCTTCTGACTTCGGAGGCGGGAGGGTTAAGGCTGAGTCAGGAAAGGCAGCTGATGAGGGGAATTATTCACAAGGATACAATATAAGGGTTGTGTGCGTGCGAGAGAGTGTGTGGGCGCGTGTGGGGGGGTGGGGGGGGGTAACACAGATAAGGAGCTGTGTTAGGAAGGCAGTGAGACACTTCTCCTCACACTACGCCGGACACACGGAGAGACTCGGACGATACAGAACCTTATCGAGACGTCTGAAAGCGCTTCACAGGATATATACCGTATAACTGTAGTGACTGTGTGTGGGCGTGTTTCGCGGGGGAAACGTCTCCACAAACAGCCGTGGGTTGAGTGACCGAATTTTTTTTTTGGGGGGATTATTACCCACCGGAAAAGTGATCCCCCGATCGACTGACCAGCGGATTCCTACTGACTGCCGGTAAACAGCGGCGCGTGTGTGTGTGTGTGTGTGTGTGCGTACGTGTGAACGTGTGTGTGAACGTGTGAGTCTGTGTCTGTGTGTGTGAGTGTGTGTGTGTGAGTGTCTGTGTGTGTCTGTGTGTGTGTACGTGTGAACATGTGTGAGTGTGTCTGTGTGTGTGTACGTGTGAGTGTGTGTGTGTGCGTACGTGTGAGTCTGTGTGTGTGTGTGTGTCTGTGTGTGAGTGTCTGTGTGTGTGTACGTGTGAGTGTGTGTCTGTGTGTGTGTCTGTGTGTGTGAGGGGGGTGGGGGGAGAGTAAGGAAATTTGCCCAACGTTTAGCACTGCTCTGACCCACTCGGGAATCAAACCCGTGTCCTCTCTCTCTCTCTCTCTCTCTCTCGACTCTAACCCCTGAGCTGCAGGACCACCCCCCAGTGTCTCTGTCTCTCTCTCTCTCTGTCTCTGCCTCTCTCTCTCTCTCTCTCTCTCCCTTTTATACATCACCTGAAAAATTTTTTTCTGCTGATTTTTATTGGTGACGGTTTTTCTTTGTTTCGCTCTCGTGGTCGCTCTGTTGCGCTGCGAAATGCAGATTATTACCCGTTCCATATTTTTTGAGCGGATATACTTAAACAGATAATCACTGAGTGAGACGTTCAACAAATATGATAACTAACATTGTAACGTGTATTTAAACAGTAAGAGGTGAAACCTGCCGCACCGATGTCATGGTTTGCTGCTGATCTTTATTACACTTAATATCCTAAAATAGTGAATCTGTTTCTATTATTATTATTATTATTATTATTAATTAATCGGTTTCCTCTCCCCTCCGGCAGCAGAATTCCCGGCTGAGCTGAGGGCAGGGAATGGTTTGGACAATGATCTCAGTGATGTTCCTCCTGATTCTGCTGATTGTCATCTACAAACAAAGACACAAACAAGGAAAAGGTTTGGGGCTTCACACCGTTCCCCCTCTCACCCCCGGACAGCGTCTCAGAGCCGTGGACGGTGACAGAGTGTGACCTCTCGCCCGGGAGAGACAGAGAGGGAAACTGAGAGACAGACAGAGAGGGACAGACAGACAGAGATAGAGAGACTGAGAGACAGACAAAGAGAGACAGACAGACAGACAGACAGAGATAGAGAGACTGAGAGACAGACAAAGAGAGACAGACAGAGATAG